ATAATAATAATAATAATAATAATAATAATAATAATAATGATGATGATGATGAACATGCGAAAGAGAAAAGAATTTTTACTTTGTGATACTGTTAGCAATATTAGAATCCTAATGGACTGAAAACCGTACCTAATAATGTTTGTTAACATCGACGTTTTGTTTAACGTTGTTTTGTGACCCGTTCTGCTTATGAACCCAAGTTTCATCAAACTTTCCAAGAAAAAGCTGTCCGTCTGCCTTTTGATTTCTCGATTCGACGATCAAAGAACCGACGATTACTCTCTTCGCATACATACATAATGCTCGTATCTTTTTCCCAATCCCCCATCGGGATCAGAATTCTCTTCGTTGGTTCTTCCAGTTAATAAAGGAAAAAAAATGGACGTTTTTTTTTCTATGTGTACGTATGTGTGTGCGTGTGTACATTAACGAACAAACTAGTTAAGTAAGTAATGTCGCATATTAGTTATCCCGCGCGGCTGATTGCAGAGCGTGAGACCTCGCGCGCAATTTGTCAGCGACCAAGAAAGCATTGTGGCACGTAGAATCGCGAAAGAGGAGGCCACGGAGAACAATTACTACGGAGGGCTGCGAGGTGGCAAGCCATTCAACACGACCAACAGCAGCTTGACGTCGGCTACGAGAATTATAAATCATCACCTGTTCGGCTCTGCCATTGGGCCCAGGCATTACACAGGTCAGTGGCAAAGCCTACTGCTCTCCCTCTTATTATCTCTTTATGATGAACTTGTTATCGTTCCAGGAAAGTTCCAAAAAACATTTGAAACTTTGTACAAATATAATTCACCTGGTAATCAGAATAGATCATCAAAAGAGACAACACCTGCAGTGTGAGGTCGTAGAGTGAATATTAATGGATCTGTCAGAGTTCTGAAAGATTTCATTGCGAGACACAGAACTGTACAAAACTGAATCAATGAATATTTCTCATTGCGGACAACTAGAAAAAAGAAGAACACTCGCAGTATTAAGTAATTGTTTGTATTAGCTACAATATGTTGCTGTTATTTCACAGTAGTTGGACAAAATTTCTACAAAGCCTGTGATTATTGATTCAGTTATGCTCTTCACTGTGCATATAATTGAGCGCGTTGAACGAAATAATAATTCTCAAATACTTTCAGAAAATTAATTCAAAT